TCAAAATGAAGAGGATTTCGTAAAATACAAGAAGTGATTTTAGCAGGGAGTATGGAGAAACTAATTAGTGAAATTTTGAATCTGTTCGCTATGTCCGCGATGGAACTGATTTTACGAGTGCAGCAAAAGAGCTGAGAACTTTAGAGATTTATAATAAGAGCTTTTTGTCCCATCGTCCTACGGCTCTATAAAATTCTTGCAAAATATTCTGTCAATTTTAAATTTGAAAAAAGTATAATTATCAAAAAATAAAGTTAAAATTCTTTAAAGTTCACACACAAGCACGTCATCCTCAAGAAGTAGCCCATTGGGAGCACCAGCATGTCTTACTGAACAAAATCCTTCTTGTTCAGTTGCTTGCCCTGCTTGAAATACATCTTCCACGAAGAAAAAGTGAAAAAAGGTCCTGTCATCTCCAAAGCATCTCATTAGAATAAGAGCGCTTTTGCATTGTAGGAATATAGCTGTAAATTCTAATTACGTCTTATTGCAATTAATAAGGTTCAATATGAGCTAAGATTTGCCTTCGTAAAGTCGAATGTTGAGATTACTTTTATACGCATTGGATTCAATGCATACCATTGATAATTTTTAAAGCTTTGCCTAGATTTTTGTGGCAGCACCAGCATTTCTCCTATTCTTTAGAAATCACATGAGGACTTCTGCAATGATGACATAACAATATTGTTATTTCGGTTGTCTAATACAACAAGAACGTAAAAGTTAATATGGTTCTGTGTGAACGAGAATCCTTTTGTACCATAGAAATCCTTGCTGGCATCAAGGATAAAGCACAAAGCTCTTCGCGTTGATCAATCCCTGAGGATTGCGCCATGCATTAGACTTCATTAAGCATCGTTGGAAGTGATTGAATGCATAACTGGTCTTTACAATGACTCACAGTGGCTTGCCGATGTATGGAGTCAGTGTTGCTATCCTCCCAGAGAAAGCTGGTACCAATTTACCGACCCCGGAAAGATGGACAAGCAACGGGTGCGGGGATCGATCCCATGTGTGTGTCACAAGGCGCCTCCGACCACTACGCCACAGGCGCCCCTCTGTTACTGACATGGTAGAATATATTATGCCCACATATTTTCCTCTACTGTGAAAGTTCCATTATTCACTGAAACGCATCATGTTATTGGAGCTGAAAACTTCTATTGTTTTATGAACTGGTAAACTGTAAACCTTCAAGAGTCCAATGATTAAAGGGTTCGATTATTTTCTTCAAAGAACGACAACATTCCCCGATGCTGCATTGCGGTTTTTCTATTGATGAAAAGCAGATAAGATAGTAAATGGGCAAGATGTGGAACTGAATTTTAATAAATGGATAAAGATTTTGTATACGATAATCTCTTTGAAAACTGGTAACACATAAATGCAAACACAGATTGGTACGATATGTAAAAGACACGTATACACTCGTGTATCCACTGGCACATATACACATACGAATACACAATTACATGCCTATCTACCTATATGCATACATATACACATGCAGACATAGGCACACATACACGTAAGTATACATATACACTCATCGAACCTTAAAACCATTTTTACATTCATACACGAACGATTTATATGTGAACTCATATATATGCACAAGTAGACAGACCTATGCACATACATACACAGACACAGGCACAGACACACACACACATATACACAGACATGTACACATACGACACACACACCCAAATTCTTCACAGTTGTTTATGATGGCGATGGTTCGCTGACGGCGTATTGAGAGGGTTTATTTGTCGCACTTTATGCCACGATCGAACATTTGGTTAAAGATCAATTCACAATCAAATCAGCTTTTTTCTCAGAATTTCGGAGCTTATTCAAATGAATGTAGCAGTTTTGTTCCACAGCATTCGACAGAATTCGATCTCAGGAAGAAAAGAGCCTAGAATGTCATTGACATCTGTGCTCCTCAAAAAAAATATTACAACGATAATTATTGGAATTGGTATGACATAGTGATAATGATGGATGCCAACTAACAGTAAGAGACGCTTGCACATCATACGATGATGATTAACGACGTCAAAACGACACGATGACGACCAGTTCTAACAAAGGCAATTGTCCTTCACTTCTATAGAGCATAGGTGGGAAATAAAATGAATTGTCCTTCCTTTTTCAGATTACTTTTCTTTCCATATTCTTACCTTCTCATTATCCACTTTTTAAGAACAAAATAAACTGCTTTTCATCTCAGGTTTTTAAGTAAAGTAAATGCGCCTTCTTCGATTCATTTTTAGGCTATATTCAAAAATTAGTGCAGCTGAAATAAATGGGCTACGAGCCGCAACGTTTTAAAAATTCCTGTTTTGTAAGCATCTCATAGTACTTTGGCACTACAATTTTTAGCGACAAAAATAGAGAGGCTTCTTTTCTTCAGGCCGATTTAAGCTGGTGTTTGTTAAGCGTTCACAACTTTGTAGAATTTATTTCTCTTAAAACATGAGTTCTTGACTAACAACTTAGAAAACTCCAAGAATAAAGATAGACAGCGCATGCGTAGTGATCCTGTTCATTACGCTGCCAGCCCGACCTAGTCATACTCTGTTTAACCTTTACACCAGACTCGGCCTTTCATCCTTCAGGGGTTGAGAAATTGGTATCAGACTTATGTGGGACAATGCCACTAAATCTAGCCCACGTGGAAATGCCCTAGCATGGTTATTTCAAGATTCCAGAGAAAATCGACATGACTAACATTAAACTGTATTTGCGATGAAAGCAGCAAGCTGAACTCACAAGCCAAAGCAGTTCGACATTCTTCATAGATGGCGGATGCAAGGAAGCGAAACGAGCGAAAGAAGTGGTGGGATCTGTGCAGTGTGACACATGCGGTGTCGGGTCATGTAAAAAAACGAACACAGAAGAAGACGAAACTCTGTTGGTATATTTCAGAAGAATTCTCTGTTGAAGACGAAGATGTCAAAAGGTTAGCCGAAAATAAATATCTTTATCAACTTTGTGTAAGCGCATCTAAGAAAGAATGCACGTTGTTTAGTAATACGGAGGTTAAAGGAAAGTCGGTTTTGAAATATTGTCATTGCTCTTTGTCAGCTGATAATGATACCTACTTTTGCAGGATTTATAGTCAGGGAAAAATAAGTTACTATCACTGGACTACCACACCTATCAACCATCAGCATCCTTCATAAAAGGCATCACAGAGTGCGTATGCCTCATTCGAGGAGATGGCCCGCTGAGGAAGACCTAACTCGACACGAAGGCGAAGCCGCCACATTGAGACCAAGAGCAAGCGTGGACCATCGACTTTGCTTATGGACCCTGATGAAGACGAAGACGTCTTTAGCATCCTGGTGTAAGCTCATTAAAGAAAGAATAACCGTCGTTATAATCAGTTTTGCCAGCACAACTGAGAGCGACGAAAGAATGAATAGTGTGGAAGGCAATAGAAAGTGCCGCATGCTACGCAATCAACTCTGAAGAGGTAAAAATGTTGGAAAAAGTCTGATTGTGACAATATGTAAAAAAACCAGACTTCCTTGCTGTTAATTTTCATATCATATAACCACTGGAATGAGAGTGGCACATCAGTAGTTATGCTCTTCAGTGTGGCACAACACTGAAGGTCGACCTCGCACTATGCCCACTTGTACCTCCATTACTGCGCAACCGTCAAATCTGTACAGGACTTTTCTGTGATCAGCTTACTGTCTCCAATCTACAAAAAATTAAAATTACCGGCAGTGGGAATTCTCTCTCATAGAGAGATCTCATGCCGCTTTATCGCGATACGTGGCGCGTCCCAAGGTTGTGGCCAGGGAAGTTAGTAGCGGACCGGAAGCGACCTTTGTTTCTCTGAGAGGCAGGCGGATTAAGAGGATGAAGTCCTTGTTTCTGCTCCGCGAATTTGGCACATATTTTCTGTATTTGCGAAGGCGCACTCGTTCATACGTGCGTGGATGTGGTCCCATTTGCGCGGATTGTATTCTGCGAGTTATTTCGGCCAAAAGCATGCAGTAGCAGCAAATATATGGGAGGTGGTTCTGAGTGACCTCCAACAAGTGAGCTTCCCGTCTACTTTGAGAAAGACTGGAGAACTGCTTGTGAGTATAGCGAAATTTTACGTTTAGAGCTAAGGAAGCTATTTATGGGTATCAAAAAGCTAAACACAGTAAAATAAAACGGCCTCATTCTCCTAACCCCGAAAGAGCCCCGATTCGGCAGCGTTGGGTAGGACGAGTACGGAGAGGCTGCTAACATCTCAAGGCCACTTTGGACTGCCTAAATCGCAAAGGGCTAAGGTAACGATTTTTACCTACAATGAACGCATTTACACTTGATTCCTCAGGAGAAGACTCGATCATGAAAAGCATGAAGTATAACGTATGACATCATAGGAGTGCGCTAGACGAGAAGACGCCATTCAAGGCCGTCAGTGACACCAGAAAAAACTGTTTCTCGGAACATCCGACAATAGAAGATTCGGCGGTGTAGATATACTTGGGCCATGAAGACTGATTCATTCGAACAATTAACAATCCGAGATTTGGATCAATACCGGTTTGACAATCTTCGTCGCTTACACACTAACATGAAGCTGTGCTGAAGAAGAAGTCGAAGCGTTTTAAATGGACTTGGAGAAGTTCTGCAGAGAAGGCCATACATTAAGGCCATCACTGAAGGTTTTAACGCTAATATCGGACCCGAATTAGAATGGAACGAGCAGGGTGGGTGGCTGTATGAGTTCATCGCCATGACGAAGACTATTCATGGTAACTCGCAATTCCGGAAGTTCCTGCCTCAACGCCGGACGTGAAAGTCTCCAAATGTACAGTACCATAACGAATACCACGTAGTACATTGAAGGGTTTGTTTGTCGCTGTTAACCAGAAATTTAGTACGTGATCATACCATCGCCTACTTCGTGCAAAAATTCGCTTCTCGTAGAAATCGGAAAAAGTCGTTAAGATTGGCTCATTCAACATTTTCACGTTAGCGTTATGAAGACTAAGTTCGAATGCCACCAAGAGAAGTCTGTCTCCAGAAACACTCGAACTGATACGCTAGCGTGGAATCACACGACTACAGGCAACCGCCAACTCGTGTTCGAACTTGCAAAACAAAGCGGAGAGGCGATGAGAGATCTTAATGAGAGAAGAGCAGCAGCCATGGTGAAGCTGCAGGGGCTGGAAAAAGCATTCGCAAAGCCCATCGAAGCTTCTCCAATTGCAAAAGCAACATAATTTAACTCCGACGCCCAGACGGAACAGTTACAGCTTCCAGAATCGCAGTTGAGGAAATCATTCACGAGTAATTTCAATGAAGCTGAGATATTGGCAAAACTCCGGACCGCAGGTGTCTGCGGTTGGAAACGAACGCGCTATTGTCCTTTCCGGGGAGTAACGCGTTCACCACCACACCATGCGGGTTCTTCGTTTCGCCTGACAACAGATCGATAAAACTAGCTGAGAGACAGGCGAAACGAAGGACCCGCATGGTGTAGTGGTGAACGCGTTACTCTCCGGAAAGCACAACTGCACGTTCGTTCCCCACCGCTGACACCTGCGGTCCGGAGCTTTCCCAATATCTCAGCTTCATTGAAGTTATATTTCGCAACATACCCTGCCATTAAAAAAAAGAGTAGGCAGTAAATAAAACGGTTAACATTCACGAGTAATTCTCGCGTCTCTTCAGTAGCCACGTGCTCCTGCCCTAATATGAAATAAAAGAGGATGGATGTGCTGTGCCACTGCTCCCTTTCCACAATCTGACATGCCATTTCGTCGGTGAAAAATCGAACAGCACCAGATCCGGACAGGATACGACCAGAACACTTTAAGAACCTTCCGCCAGTCCTCGTAAACACACTGGCTCTGCTCTTCACACGTTACCTGTCTGAATGCAAAGTCCCTACTCAATGGAAGACCGCGTTATTGTTCAAGAAGGGTGACCTGAACGATATCGGCAACTATCGCCCAATCGGCTTACTCTCTGTCGTCTACAAACTTTTCACTCGAGTCATCCTGAACGGAATTGGCAGAACACTGGACGAAGGGCAGCCAAGTGAAAAAGCAAGGTTCCGAAAAAGATTTAGAACAATGGATCACATCCACACGATAACAAGAATGATTGAAGTATCGCGAGAATACTGTGACCCCTCTGCCTTACTTTCATCAATTTAAATAAGGCTTTTTACTCTTACTTTTACTTTTTACTTTTACTAGTTGAGGTAAAAGCAGTCACGGAATCTCTGGGCAGCCATTGAGTCTCTACTCGGTATATAAAGATGAAGAGAAAAATTAAAGACCTATACAAAATTTCCACAACCAAGATATCACCAGCCTACAACGACTTTAACACCGACATCAAAAGAGGGGTTAGGCATGGCGTTACCACCTCGCAAAAATTATTTACCGCCACCCTCGAGGACGTCATCCGAACATTGGGAAAGGACAACACGGGTATGAAAATCGATGACCGACAATTACACCATCGTCGTTTTGCTGTTGGCATCATTCTTATAACACCAAACATTAGGCAAGCGGAACGAACGTTTGCAGAGTTTGATAAAGCCTGTAGAAAGGTTATTCTTTGACCAAACATCACAAAAAAGACGCTCATGAGTAGCAGATTGGTTACGTATGCTCCATTCAGTAGGAAAATTGACATGATGAGAAACCTAGCTCCGTAGTTGAGAAGGAGAAAACGAGCAGCTTGCGGAGCTTTCAAGACTATCGATGATGTAGTAAAAAGAACAAAGAACACCCGACTCCGTACCCAACTTTTCGACTTTACGATTCTTCCAGCCCTAACGTATGCGTCAGAAATCTGGTCGTTGAGTAAGCACGATGAAAGATCACTCAAAGTTATTGAACTTACAGTCGAAAGAACGATGCTAGAGGCAACCGTGTCACAAAAGTGAGGGAAGGGATTCGATGCTACCACCTGCATCACGACCAAAAATCAAATATGCCGTTCTATACGCCAAACTGTCGAAGATATGTTGAAGAGACACGTAGTGCGTATGAAAGACAGCAGATAGACAAAGCCCGTAAGTGACTGGATTCCTCGGGACGTAAACAGTGTAAACATGCTGCATAAAGACCACCGATCCGATGGAGTTCTTCACGAAAGCTCTAGAAGAAAGCTTTAACGCTCAATGAGTCTCTAGGGCGAACAGAACCCATTGGGTTACTCTTGCAAGTGACGGGGAAAAGTGGAAGGTTTATTGGCGCTCGCACAAGTTACTGGACGATCATAGGGGCGACAGATGATGCCAATTATACCGGTAGTGAATATCTAGAACTCATTGTGATTACGAAAAGGTCCAAGTTAAAATGTTACCGGAACTAGTGGCATCAAGAAACATAGCAGCACTAGACCACGAGCTGAATGACACCAGTAGCTCTTTACCACCTACAAACGATTTAATTAAGACTATAGCAATGGGTCTGAAGAGTCCGTAAACTTTTCTTTATCTAGAGCCGCTAACAGTTGCCCATTAGATTTCTTCCATCCAAGGAAGAAGATAAGGTTGGATAGTCTTTTTCTATGAACACCTTCAATTCTACTGTTCAAGGAAAACATAGACAAAGACAATTGACTGGACTGGGCTTTGTTGTGGCTAATGCTTCTGTGAAGTTGTTTTTGTGGATTGAATTACCGAACTCTTCAGCCCAGTTTCAGTGAGACTATTGAGACGGTGAACCCCATGGCAACTTAGAAAGGAGCACTAACGTTTTCTGAAATATTTATTTTACGCTCCAGTCCGTCTTCCAACACTGTGGTTCTTATGGGTTTTCTTTTTAAAACTTGCAAAAATGATTATGCAATTACTCTCAACATCAATAAGAAGGTTGATTTGATAAATGTTTCGATGACCTTTCCCGAACAGCGTGAAGCACTAATCTTTACAAAAATTTATTACCAAATGATGGGATGTGCTTTCAGAATGTTCCAAGTTGAAAACTGATCGAAAGTGGCGATAATCATTGTTGACTGTGTTCTGAAATGTGGACGGAATTGAAGGAAAAATTCGAGATTTAGAGAAGAACGCTTTCGGGAAACGAAGCAAAATGTTCTTCCAGTTCTCGTTGACAATAAGGACGACTACAAGGTTTCCAATCAAGAGTACTTAAATGGATGGCCGGTCTGCACTGGTTGGGCGTGCCCCAGCATAATTTCGATTAACCGGAGATTTGGTAGTTTAGCCATTGTGGTTTCCTGGAGCTCCGAGGTCATCCTAGTTAAAGTCTGCTTCAGATGGTCACCACCCCAGCTCGTCGCTGCTCCGTAAATCAAAGGAAGACTTGCCACCATGAGACTTTGACACCAGGACAATGGTGGAACCTGTATTGGTTTACTCTTAGCTAAGCTTCTCGATGGAAAGCTGAACAGCCTCTCAGCTTGCGAGACCTTGCCGGGAGGATGAATTCACCTGCTGTGCATCACAGCCCAACACCCAGGAACACCTCTCACCCACGATGAGCCTGTAAATCGTTGGAAACAATCGAGATTAGGAAAACATAAAAACAACAATAAATGCAAAACAACATGGTGAAATACGAATCATCTAATTTCAAAAATGCAAAGTTTGCAAAACAATAGAAATAATGATGTCTGCCATCTTTATAGTGCTGCGATCTTTGCAAATCATATACTTAAAATGAATAGATCATAGGAAGGCATTGGTTTTATCCATAAAAGAGTAGCATAGTGAAGAAGAAAAGAAAACAGAAGTCTGTCAACACCCCAAAAAATAAGAAATGATTTAATGGAAAGGGTTTACCTCTAGATGACTTTAGCATCATCTTCCCTTCACCGTCGTCTTCTTCTTTCTTGTTTTAGTTCTCTGTAGAGATTTGGAAGCATTCATCTGAATATTATCAGGTAGGTATAGTTATAAAGCATAAAAAAGCGTTCTGCGTTGATCAATCGTTGAGGAATACTCCATGCATTAGACTCCATTCGTAGCATCGTAAAGCTGACTGAATGCTTTATCTAGCCTAAACAGTGACTTGCGGTGATTTACTGTTATATCACATCAGTACTGCTATGCTTTTAGATAGCGCTGGGGCCAATTTTGTTCGGTTCGCGAAGGATGGAAGGTGTGGCGAGCTTGGGCCGCGGGATTGAATCAGACCCCGATCCAGTGTGTACTACAATGAACGTCTAACCACTGCGCCAGACGCGTCCTCAAATATAGTTATACAGATAAACAATAAATGTGAAGTAGAAACCATTTATTGCTTGGTCATTCTCTCTATAGTTCTAAGGTCATTAGACATCCATGACATTTTTCTATGTGAATTTCTGATATAGGAAAAGAGTAGAATATTAGAAAGAACTTTGACCACCACACCCGTGAACTTCCTGGGGTTGGACTAGCACCAAGGGCAGCAACGGCGGGTTTTTTCTCTTCTTTGGCAGCTTTCGCCTTCTTCTTTTTCGATTCTTGCTTACGTACAGCAAGAAAGAGTGCCTTCTGTACACCTTGCTGAAAGAACATGCAATAGTTAGAGCAATTTTCTAGTGTTAAAGTTATGACGATATTTAGGTGCTGTCAGCCACAGATGGCCGGTGCAGTTTGGAGCACACGAATTTTGACAAGTGTAGTTGCCTGAGAAATTCAGAAGGCTACTATAGTGCGGGGAATATGAAACTAGTCGAACTATAGGAAAGGCGCAACATCAGCCAACAGTAAAAGATTATATTTGGAATGGTGCACAAGTTTATACGTAGCATTCATTAATACATCAAATAGCTCCACTCCAATCGGGGTATTTAAAACTTTCTATCACCTCAAATGATTAAGTGATATGTGATTATTTAGGTGACAATAGTTTCTACGGCTATTTTTAGTGTAATGAACAACACTGGTACTAGAATGCGCTTGAAGTGCGATGTGATGTAGTGGAAAGCATTTGAGCGCTGATATGAGGGAAGGAGTACGGGGTTCAATCCCCGGTAATGCAGTAGTTCTAACATGCTTCGAAAAGCTCCGCTGTGCTGTCGAAGTGATGCAAACTGCTAAAAAGATATTCATCATGAGTCAAACCGGCCCAATTTGTATTGTACCGGCTCTCACCATTGCTGTACAGTAATTTGTGTGAGATAGAAGTTACCGCCTTAAAACAGTCGTTGTTTTAAAGCTAATACCGTTTCACTATCGATTTTCGAAAAATTGGGTAACACCGGCTCTCAACACCCACACCACCGCGTACCCACGTAGCGCAGAACATGT